GGACATCTTTTAATTCAATACCATTAGGAAACTTAATATCAGCTATGTGGGTCACAGAAAACCTATCTCCATTCGGGATTTTTATGTTTTTAATTGGTCCATTATAAACTTTGTAATTATCTAGTAACATTAAATCACTAACCATGTGAGTGGTAGCTCCTGAATCTAAAACCCATTTACTATGATTTATATCAGAGGAGACAAGAATGGGCAAACCTGTACCGCTGAGAGCATATGCACTTGATGCAGAGTCTTTCTTCAGAAGCTCCAGCAGGCGTTTGTATTGTTCAAGTGTAAAGCTGGGGGAAACAGTCGACACGTTTGTGAGAGCCTCTGCCTCCCGGTTCACTCCACTTTGTCTTCCCTTTGCTTCTGAATTCTGTTTTCCTTTAAACCCTTTGTAGTCAGCTGGGAATCCCACTATTTCCCAGCAATTCTCTTTAACGTGGCCCTTCTTGCCACAGTGCTCACATTCTGGTGGAGGGGCTCCTCTACCCCTTCCTCTTCCCCTTCCTCTGCCTCTAGCTGTCATCGCCATTCCTTCCATGGGGTTACCTCTCTCCATGTTTGCAATGTTCCTCTGTGACTCCACTTCAAGAATCATCGCGTAGGACTGGTTGACAGTCGGAAGGGGTTCCATTAGGAGTATTTGACTCCTTGAATTATCATAAACCTCATTCAGGCCCATCAGAAATTGTAACATTTTTTGCCTTTGCACAGCTTCACTATACAGTATAGAAGTATTGCACGTACAGGAGGGAATTGCTATAAGGTTACTCTGCTCTTCCCACAGCTCTTTGAGATGCGAATAATATGTAGATACCGAGAGATTGCCTTGACGCAAGGAATTAATCTCACGGTGTAAAGAAAATATTCTTGACCCAGATACCTTGTCGAATCGCTCTCGCAAGTCCTCCCAAGCCGTCTGTGCATCTTGTAGATATATGAGACTGTTCGCAAGGTCCTTGGAAACTGAGTTTAAAATCCAAGAAAACACCACGGCATTACACCTCTCCCAGTGTTCCTTGAGACGTGAATCTTGTTCAATCCTTTTGCACGATCCATCTATGAAGCCGGTCTTGTTCTTACCTCGAAGTGCAATTAACATTGCCTTGCTCCAAATCACATAATTCTCACTTCCCGTCAACACTTGAGTAATGATCGACGCGCCTTGCGTATCCGAAGGATGGAGGTAGAGCGGGCTCCCGAAATCGATTGTTCCTTCATCGGAGCCTTTTGCTTCTCCCACGGTTCTCGTCATCGTCAAATCAGAATTCATGGGACTCTAAACGCGATATGATTCTTGAATCAGGGATGATTGAAAGATTGCGTAGGTGTCTTCATCAATGGTTTACCAGTTCATTCTTGAATCGCAGTCAAAGATGAGGGATTTGGAAGAATACGGGTTCCGGTTGCTGGGCCCTTCTCAACCGGTATTAACGAATCTTGACTGACCCGAGCTCTGATACCATATTAGCTATCAGAGTTACACGCAGCATACTGAATTATACTCTTATTCATTGAGAAAAAATCATAATACATCAACGGGCCTTGTCCATATATATAGACCTACACACCAAATGGGCTCAACTAAGTAGCTCCTAGGCCCAAACTGAAATAAACCAAACACTATAACAACTTATTATCACTACTGGCAACATCGTCTTAATTAGATTTTTAAGATATAGATATTTTTCAATCATGTCCCTCCCAAAGAGAAATATAAATAATAGTCCATCACATAATGTGTACATCTGAAATTGATAGGAAAAACAGATATTCGATGATAAATAGATTTACTTAAAGAAACTAAATTGAGAAATAATCAGAATTGAGAAACACATTATGCATGAGATGAGAACTGAATTGAAAAATAAATAGGGAGGTGGATATTACATAGTGAATATATAATAGCAGCAATCTTGTACCATTGGACAATAACTTGCTTCTAGGTTGCTTCATTTATCGTAGGAACTAGAAGAGACATGAACTCGTAGAAGCAGTATGATTTCTAAAAACCCAATATTCATTTGAACCCAACCAGAAATAGGAAGTGGGTACAGAGCCAATCTTAGCAGCTAACACTAGTAAGAAGTTCACTACTTTCACCAACAGAGATGTTGAGGGCGAGTTTCTAGAATTTGCTTTCCCTTATTGGGTTCAAACACTTCTTTTCCAAAGCCTACATAAACATTCATATAACCATATTCACAAATCAGTCGATTTACAAGAGAAGTGTACCATTACAACGATGACGCAGAGGAAAGCACATATGAACATAAGGAAGGTTGAAATCGAAAGTGATATGGCGGAGTGCCGTGAATCTCACAAAAAGACTATAATGCCCCTGTTTTATGTTTGTACCTAAGGCTATTCATACCGGGAGAGGACAAAATGCAGGACAGCCTTGTTCTATCCTGGGACATACATTCATATTTTTTTAAAAAATTTTGTTATAGATTATTTTTGTTTATCTATTCTAACAACAACAAAAAATAAATATTAAGCATAAAAAAGTAAATAGAAGTCACATAAAAAATTAAAGTCAAAATGGTAATACAATTTTTTTCATTGAAAATTAAAAAAAAAAATCTCGCGAGACATTTCAGTCCCGTCCGATCTTGATTAGAACCTGGACAGCTTTGGGACAATATGAGACATGGGACGGGATTGTCCTGATGCCGTGCTATCCCGTGAGCATCCCTATTGATAGCTGAAAGTGTGAAATACAAACGAGACACGGGTCAAGAGCGTCTAAATTTCATCCTGTCCGGTGAACATTTCTATTAATAGTTGAAAGTGTGAAATACAGAAAACAAAAACTTTCCACTGCCGAGAATCAAAGTCTCTTGGGTGAGAGCCAAGTATCCTAATCAGCTAGACTACAACGGATTGAAGGTATAAACAATAGATAACTAAATTCTGATTATGATTACAAAGCATGTAAGTGGCTGGCCCATGCTAATGTGAGTCCAAGTTGTGCAATAGGAAGTCTTCTCCTAAACCTTATCCCTAACGTTTGGCTAACCCACACACTACTTTTGTCACTTTCAGTCTCCATAGTCCACGCGCCATTCTTTACTTCTTCTCTCAGAAAAGCCAAACTGAATGGAGGGAATGACAATAAAAAAGAATGAAGTCTTAACCTGAAGCTCTAGAGTCTTTGAGGTAAAAGTGGCTTCAGGATAAAAATATATTCAATCTTAATAATATTTATTATTTCAGAATTATTAAAACATAATCTTATAAGAAATCATTAGTAGGTAAAACTATGTTGTTAATCCTTGAACTTTATATAAATTTAAGTATGATCTCTTAACTTTGAAAATTATACTTTTAGTTTTTTAATTCTAAAATTGTTAACATAAAAATAATAACAATTAAAATAATCTTTCATATTGTATTAAGTTTAATTTTTAAAACAATCATAATTGTTAATGAAACACATCATTTAAGCCTAAAAATTTTAAGATTAAAAGACTAAATGCACACTTTTATCAACCCATATATGTTACCATAAACTTGGGTTAGCATATGTTAATATCATTAATTACTTGGTGGGGGGCCCAATAAATAAAAATCTACGACCAAATGAATTCATATATAATTAATTGACAATGGGATGACAGTGAAAACGAGGGTCGTGATCATCATCCTGCTCCCTTTTCAATCAATATTGTAATTTTTTGGGCCACTTCAATAATTCTCTTCGGCTACAATTCAAAGTTGGTCCCCCGCACAGCTAATTGGATCAATAAGAATTATATTATTATTATTATATGATATGATTAACACGTGGCTCGTTGTGGTCCTTCATACTTAAAAATATCTGCAATTCCCTCAGGAGGGTCTGAAGCTGCGTGGAAACCGTACAACAAGGTAGGGCCTCAAGCTTACTCTTCTTTTTTTTTTTAGTTTTTTTTTTGCCTTTAACTGATTTTTTAAATTTTACAAGTTTTCTGATTTTCTATCATTAAATTATGTTCCTGATCTCATAAAGGCATTCTTAGTTTTCTTTAATTTATCAGAACCTTGGCCGTTATATATAATTTTACAAATCAGACGTACTAAGTTAGTTGCTTCTCATTTTTCCCTTGATAAGTATATCAAGAGGTCACCATATAGAATGGCAATAGTTCATAAAAAGTTAATGTTAAAAGGAGATTTTTTTTAAAAACAAATAAGTACTAAATATGAGGAATCTAAACATGAGGAGTTTGAAAATTTGAGTAGCCATATTAACTTGTTGTATAAGGTTATAAATTGTCATGCATTATCCCAATAATGGAAACCCCACAGCATTGACCCAATTACATAGACTTGAATCCTATCTAAACCAGCGACTTTGCAGCCACTCCTCCCAACTAAAGCTTCAGATCTGCTTCTTCTTCTTTTCTTCTCCATCATTTCACATATCTCCTACTTTCTCCCTTCTGCTAATTTCTACTGCTTTCCCAGTTTTTTTTTCCACTTCATCATCCCTGCAGTTTCCTCTGTGTTATATATTCGTCTTTCTGATTCCCTTTTTTCTTTGTCTTTTCTCGAAAAAACAAAAAAAAATCCTAAATTTTTTGCTTTTTGCATTTTTTGTGCTGGCACTTCAATTCTCAGCTGTTGTGATATTTTTAACTTTATTTTGCTAGTTTTGTGATCTTTCTTCAAGGAGAAAAAGTCCCAAAAATAATTTTTTAAAAAAAGTGTTCTTTCAATTTGTGACGGCTCATATCTCCAAAAAAAAAAAACTCGTTATTCCCGATGATTTTATTTTTGGTGAGTTCGACTTTTTCATGTATTTTTATTGCTTCGTTAATGTTGTTTTTCCTGTTTGATTTCACAAATTCATCGTCTTTCTTGGAAAACTTTCAGATTTTATAGTTGTCTTGGATTTTGTGAAGCATCAGTTTCTTAAAGTTGTCCAAAGCACCGTTAAAAAAAAAAAAACAGAGAAATCTCTCATGCTTGATCTCCATATTGGAACACTGGGGGAAGCTGATTACTGTTGGGAATCTAAGGATTATATAGCTTGAAACTGCAAAGTTTCACATCGGCCACTACTGTAAGTTTGAAAATATGGATTTATGCTAAATCAGTCTCTGTTTAATTGATCTGCGTTTACAAAGTTTAATTGTATTTCAACTTTTGCAGCATATTTATGCGTTTCTGAATACAGGGAGCAGCAGCAAGAAGAAGAGCAAGAAGAAGAAGAAACGGGTTCCAGCCATAGTAAAGATACCTAAGGTGTGGCTCCCTCATTTGAATATTTGAATTTTTTTTCCCTCAAAGTTCTCATTGAATATAGGTGTGGCTCCCTCAGGTTTACATGTTGAAGATACTCTCTTGTGTGCTTTGTTTAAGCAAAATATAATGGGCTTTCTAACCAAAAATATATAAGGCTTTCCTTCTAAATATATATATATATAGGCTAAAGTATATATTTGATCCTTTAACTTCATGTAAGGTTTCATTTTGATCCTTTGACTTAAAAAGTATATTTTTAGTCCTTTAATCCTAAAATTGTTAATTTTAAATGGTGATATTTTTAAAACTCATGGTGGTTTTAAAAATTAAACTTAATATATTAATATTTAGTAATATTTTATCAATATTTAAGAGCTCAATATCATTATTTTTTGTTACCAATTTTAATGTTAGAGGACTAGAAATTTACTTTTTAAAGTTAAAAGACCAAAATGAAAAATTATGTAAAGTAAAATGACTAAAAATATACATAGGACTAAATAATTAATTTTTCGTAAAAAGTATCATTTTACTTCTTGGTTCCATTTTTAACACTGTTAAAAATATTTCCATAAAAATTCGATGGTTTTCATTAAAGAGAAATATTGTGGTCCAAAATGTGTAATTAATATTGTGGTGTGCAAAAATGTAATCTTAAAAATATAAAGACGGTTTGTTTTGCACAAATTTTAATTTTATAAGTTTATAAATTGTTTAAAAATAAAAACAATTCTTTCTAATTAAATGTAAAATAAATGGGACGTCATTACATTTTATTTTTCCTTTAAATACTTTCGTAAGTTTGTTTCGTGTTCGCTTAATGAATTCGTCTTAAGAAAACAATATATTAATTGCAAGTTATAAACACATCATCTCGTACTTAAATCAGGATTTCTTTTAACAGTTTCAACAAAATCCTTGAAATGTTTTATGAATTGGGAGCGTAAAATGGATTTCATGAAATTCTGATGAAAAATGTAGACGACATTATGAAATAGATGAGAACGAGAATTCAAGATTTAAATTTTGAAGATGAGAACTTGAGGATATGCCAGGGGAAGTCGAGAGATTAGAAAAGAGAGGTAACGGAAAACGGGAAAAGAAGATCAAGAGATAAATTGGAAAAAAAAAGAAAAACAAAGAATATAATTAAGATAATGAGAGAGAAAGATAAGAGATACGGGAAAGCGCTTTATTTTTATTTTTTTGGGCTAACGAAAAGCGGGGTTTAATGCTTACAAAGATTTTAATATTTTAAAAAATTTCATATAACCTTCTGTCTGCTTTTTTTTTGGCCAATAATTTCATAGGTTCCTAAAATTGCAATGCTGTTTTACAAAATATATAGTTTTAGCCAAAAAGAGCAGCTAGTGATTATACTTTTGGATTTCTCATTTTTATTCCCCAACACTCTGAGATCAGAAAAAAGATTGATTCCTCCAACGTTTTAGCCCAATTTTTCGACCTGAAGCACCAAGTAAAAAGTACGATCACTTACGCATAAGTTGCAATCAGTGTTTAGAGTATTTTTTCTAGGAAAACAATTGAAAAACAAATTTCAGAGGTTGTCACTCTCACTATAATACTTGTTATTATAGGCTGTTGAAATTGTTATTAGGACTTTTTGGTAATTATTTCTCTTCTGTGGGACTTGATTGTAATTCCTCTTTTTTCCTATTGTATCTTAAAATAATTTTTTATGCAATTTGACGATTAAAATATTTTCTTAATAGCACTCAACACCTCAAGGCAATTTTTAGTGTAATTTTATTCCTAAACTTGGTTTGGATAGAGAGGGGAAAAAAAAAGAAAAGAAAAAAAATGAGGGGAGATTACCTGATTAAACTATTTTTGTACTAACATGTATCTTAAAATAATTTTTTTAATGCAATTATTGTACAAGATATAAGCTATGTTGTAATTTTTTTTCAATATAAATAATTAAAATGAATCACATTTTAAGAAAGTTAGCATGTGTAACCGACTCACCTACTTTTTTTAATCCATGCGAATCATCTTAAAAACAATGTAGTCCTGACCCTGTGGGTTACTGATATGCTTGTGCCCAAATCCTCGAGCGTCTGGCCACTGTCTTGCGCCTCAAATCAATCTTTGAAAACATGCCTTTACTGAACTTATTACTCCTTTTATTGGCACTTTTTATTAATATCTGTTTTATTTTCATTTGTTCTCGTTGTCTTAGCTTCTTTCATAATTTCACAGCATTCCTTGCTTCTTCTGTGTTTCTTGATTTCTCAACTTGTTATTTTGTGTTGGAACACTAGGGAAAGCTTCTTACTGTTGGGATATCGGAGGTTTATAGACATTCAGATTGCAGAATTTCAAATTGGTTATTGTTAGTTCAATATATACATATTTATTCCGATACTTCTGCATGAACAACACAAGATTAATTGAGTTTTGGCTATATCTTTTTAACAGAGCACAAATGAAATGGATATTACTTGCGGAACATTGAGCAGTTTTGTTGACAAGTTCTGGGACCTAGTGCTGGACCCAACTTGCGAGCAGTTTCATCATCTGTTTTACTATCACAGAAACATTAAGCAGCTCAATGAACGACTTGTGGAACTCGTCGATGAAAGAAGCTCCATACAACATCAAATAGATGAGGCTACAAACAATGCAGAACAAATTGAAGACAAGGTTCTTCATTGGTTGTGCAAAGTAGATGAGATTTCAGAGCAAATTCAAAAGTTTCATGTAGAAGAGAGTCAGGCAAAAACAGAGTGTAGCGTAACTTCATGTCCCAACCCGTGGCTACGCTATAAATTAAGCAAAAGAGCAAAGGCAATGGCACAAGAAGTTGTTGAAATTTGTAGAAAGGGAAATTTCAATACAGTTTCATATCGCGTTCTTCCCCCGTCCATGCCAGAATTAGTCAACAGAGAAAGCAATGAAGGAATTGGTTCAAGAGTGCAGCTTGTGAATCGAATTATGGAGGAATTACGGAATCCAAGTGTTAATATGATCGGATTGTGTGGGCCTGGTGGTGTTGGCAAGACCACTATAGCTAAAGAGGTAGCAAAGAGCCAAAAGATGTTTTCAAAGGTGATCATGGCGACTGTTTCTGATGAGTTGAACGTTGAGAAGATTCAAGGCCAGATTGCTGAGAAGCTGGGTATGCAACTCAATGAAAAAACTGAAGAAGTAAGAGCTTGTCGTCTCTGTGAGAGGTTAAAGCTAGAGAAGAATATGCTCCTCATATTGGACGATCTTTGGGAGGAACTTGATTTGGGAAGCGTTGGAATTCCCTTTGTTGATGTTGAAAATTATAGCAAAAAGGACGGAGGTTGCAAAATTTTACTAACTTCAAGGAATGAAACGCTACTGTCACACCGCATGAAATGTCAAAAACTTATCAAAATAGGTGTTTTGTTAGAGAATGAAGCATTGGAGTTGTTCAAGAGGATTGCTGAACTTTCTGCTGATTCAAGCAATCTTGAGCTGATATCTATAGCCTCTGAGATTGTTCAAAAGTGTGGACGCTTGCCGCTAGCGATTGCTACAGCTGCTAAGGCATTGAGGGGAAAAAATCTGGATGAGTGGAAAGATTACCTTGCACGATGGAGAAATCATTTGAGGAGAAACAACACAGGAATTAAAGAGGTGGATTCTTCTTTGAAGTTGAGCTACGATCCTCTAAGCTTGGAGAATAAAACTATTTTCTTGCTCTCTGCCATGTTGTCCCATGATCCCTCAATTGATGACCTGCTCATGTACTCTCTGGGATTAGATATTCTTGAAGGCATAGAAAACATAGAAGAAGCCCACGTTGGAATATGTGCTATTGTAAGTAAGCTAAAATCATCAAACTTATTTCTTGATAGCTTTTCTGGTCGTCGTGTTACAATACATGACGTCTTTCGAGATGTTGCATTATCAATTGCTTCCAATGAATTAAATGTTTTCATTGTGAGGCATAGAAGCTTGAAAGAATGGCCAGACAAAAATAAGCTAGAAGGCTACAAGGGAATTTGCTTACAAGAGAGTGACATCAGTGAGCTTCCAGAAGAGCTGCATGGTCCAAGATTAGAATTTTTTCTACTAGACAGCACAAAGCGTGATTTGACCATATCCAACATGTTGTTCAAATCTTCAAGGGAGATGAAAGTGTTGGCTTTTACCAATGTGCATTTTTCATCACTACCATCACTTAGTTTCTTACAAAAACTAAAAACATTGTGTCTACACTCTTGCTTACTAGAAGATATAGCTGAGGTTAGAAGCTTGAAGAATTTAAAAGTCCTGAGTCTTGCCTACTCTGAAATTCAACGACTACCAGCTGAATTGGCACAACTGTCTTCTTTACAAATGCTGAATTTGGCCCACTGCTCTGAACTCAAAGTGATTCCCCCAAAGCTCCTATCTAGCTTGAAAAAATTGGAAGTTTTGTACATGGGAAATAGCTTTAATCGATGGAAAGTTGAAGGATCCAGTGAAGCTATTGAAAATGCAAGTCTTGAAGAGTTAAAGGATTTGCCGATCTCTTCACTAGATGTTCATATTCCTAATGTCTCTATGTTGCCGGAGAACTTGTTCTTAGATGTGCATTTGAAGAGATACAGAATACTCATTGGACAGCATTGGGAATGGCAAGGCAATTATGAAAGTTCAAAGATATTGAAAATTGAGCTTGAGAGTAGCATCCATTTGAACACTGGGGTTCGAAAGTTAATGAGGGGAGCTGAAGATTTGTATTTATATGGATCTAATGGGCTTGAAAATGTTCTTCGTGGTCATGATGGAAGAGCATTTCCACATTTAAGGCATCTTCAGATTGAAAGTAATGATACCGTTAGATACATTGTTTTGAACTCGGCACATCATGAAGCTGCAAAAAATAACGTATCTAATAAAATGTCGAAGTTACTTCTCAACCAGGTATGTTCAGATTATTTTATCTTCTTACAAAACTTCAAAATTATATGCAAAAGTCATTTTGACTTGAATTACTTGCTTTTCTCTTAGGCAATTATGGAAGTTTGCAATCAGCTAATAGAAGAGAAAAGCTAACTTCAAGTATTAAAATAAATAATGAAGCCTCAAATTATTTGTTTTACATCCTAAAAACACGTCAACTTGATATTTTTGAGTATTTTAAATATGAATTGTTTCTGTTACTGAAATAGTATTTATGAGCATTTTAGATGCTCTGAATAACGACCTTATTGGACAGGCATGCTAGAACTATCTGCTTTGCTCGTGTGTTTGCCGGATTGTTTTTCTTATTTTGATATAATTTTTTTAGAAATGAAATCTACAAAAATTACATTCACTGGAATTACTTCCTTTGGTATTAGGCTAGTTACTATAGCATTTTGCCGTTCTTTCACTTTTTTAATTACTTAATTTTGTATTTTGTGACCGTAAAATTTTGAGTTGAACTTTCAGCACCCGCTTGAAAAATATTGTGGTAGATAAGATTTTTATTTAGACATTTAAACAAACTTTCATGAAAAGTAAGCCTATGGATTATAAGTTATTTGTGTTTAATCATATTTTCTTTGAACAGGTGTTGCTTCCAAAATTAGAGAGGTTGGAATTGTCCAATTCAATCAATTTGATTCCAACGATATGGGACGACCAACTTTCACACACCTCATTTAGCAATTTGAAAACATTGATTGTGAAAAACTGTGGCTTTGTGAAATTAGTGCCCCTTTGTGTGCTAAAATCTTTATACAATTTGGAAGAACTGGAAGTCAGGAATTGTCACATGTTGGAGATGGTGCTTGATTTTGAAGATTTGAACGAATATAGAGAGACGGTGTCATCATCAACCCAGGTTGTGCCACTGAAGAAGTTAAAGCTATGTGGATTGCCAAAATTGAAGAATGTGTGGAGCAATCACTACCAAGGAAATGTCTTCTTCCCATGTCTAAGGAATGTCAATGTTTTTAGATGTGAAAGTCTCACAAGTATATTTCCTGCATCCATAGCCAAAGGCATGCTTTGTGATCTTGAAGAGCTTCGAATATATCATTGCGGTGCGGATGTAATTGTTGCAAAAGACCAAGTTTCAGAATCTGCTGTTGCTGCATTTGAGTTTCCTAGGCTGACTTCCCTTCAGCTTTATTCGCTTGAAAATTTGAAGAACTTTTATCCACAGAGACACACATTAGAATGGCCAAAACTTCAACGATTATCTATTAGGTATTGCGATGAGTTAGAGATATTTGAAAAGGAAGCCTCAAATTCATTTGAAATACATGAGGAAGGAAGCACACTAGACTCAAAATATCATCTACTATCCTATCACAAGGTACGTTTCTAAATTAGCTATTCATGTCTTCTTTGTTTTAAAAATAAGCTAATAAAAGAGCAAAACTAACTTGAAGCATTAAAATAAATAATGAAACATCAAATTATTTTGTTTTAGAACGTAAAAACACTTGAATTTGATATTTTTGAGTATACAAATATGTGAATTACTCCAATTACCAAAATATTTATTAGAATATAGTGCTGTTTAGCATTTTATGATTGGCTTTTAAAAAAAAATTCATTATAATTATTTTAATTAATAGATTTTGTAAATAATGTTCTGTTCTTTCTTTTTCAAAGAGGCGTGTCGTTGAATGAACGGAGGGGATAATATGGTCCCCCCCTCCCCTTAGACATTATAAGCTTTAATATAATATTTTATTTTCTAAAAAGAAGGGAGGTATAACGTCCGTATGTCATCATAACCAATTATCGTAATTCCAGATACTGAAAATTTATATTATTTATTTTAATTTATTATAGTTCATATTTGAAGTTCATAAAATATACGTATGTGAAAATTGTGGATGCATCAAATTTTAATTTGAGGACACCCTCATGAAAATCGCATATGGTTTTTGACGTACGTTTTAATTAATTGGTACAGTTAGTTACTATTTATGTATTGTGCAGGATATTCGTAATTTGGAGCAGTTGAGATTAGGCGGTAAAGGGGCTGAGATGATAGGGAGTGGCCAGTTTCCAACGTACCCCTTCCCCAAAGTAAAACTGCTTCATCTCTCTGTAAAGAAAGCCACAACTATATCGTACAAATCATTGTTGAAGAGCTTTTCAAAATTAGAGGAGTTAGTGTTGGGTGGTGACATTAAGGAGGCCTTTGGAGGGGACGAAGTTCCCTTTCCAATAAAATTGACTCTTCAGAATCTTTACAAGATGAAAAGCCTGGCACCATCCTTAGTTTCTTTACCAAATCTCACACATCTTACAGTGACAATTTCTTTTCAGTTGACCACTTTGATGACGTCATCAACTGCTCGAAGCTTGGCCCATCTCACACATCTCTCAATTGATCAGTGCTTTGAAACAAAGGAAATCATATCGAAGCAGGAAGGAGAGGATGATGAGGATAAGGAAATCTGTTTCAACAAATTGCAGTACTTGCAATTTCAAAGATGTCCAAGATTGAAGAGATTTTGCAGCCATAATTATACTTTCAGGTTTCCATTATTGGATACTCTAATCATAACCAAATGTCCAATATTTAAAATATTCTGTCCAGGAGTCATTGATACGCCATCTCTTAAAAACATTCAACTGTCACATGACTGGGGAAATCATCATGAAATTTGGGACACCAACCTTAACAAAACAATCAACCAACAGGTGCGTCCACCAGCTTGCTTAATTCTTTCTATTTCCATATTTTGCAGAAATGCTCATCTATAAAAGTTCCGTGTTTATGATATTTAATATAAACCTCCCTATGCATATTTTAGTTTAATTAAAGATTCTGCTAAACTTGTGACTATAATCTTTTTGCATCACTTCAATTACAAATTAAGCACCACAAAAAATTTGGTCATAATTAATAATTAATGGGATATATAGCAGAGTGTTTTAGTATTATATATTATTCTTTTTTTCCGTAGTTGAAATCGTTATTTCTCTTCCAATATTAATTATAAAAATTAATGAACTCAAAAATGTGTGACAATTGTTTGATTAGGAAGATAATGGGCAACAAAATTATTCGTAGTTTTCTTTCTTCTAGCGTATTTGACTTTGGGACTCAATAAAAAAATAAATTATTATTGCTACGCTACTGATTCAATATGAAGTTACGTGATATAAAAATAGGACATTGTTATTTATAAACATTTCTCAGTACAAAATATTAAATTATGTAGTTATAATTGAATAATATATCTTTGCCTATAATCGTTTTACAGCGATTTGTCGGTACAAGAAAGCTGGTGTTAGATGAGGATGATGTCAGCATGATAAGTAATGACCAATTTCCAGCGGACCGTTTCTCTCACGTGGAAATTCTTCGCATAGAAGGATTTGTTGGTGAAGGGGTAACATTTCCATACACATTGCTCGGAAGATTTCCGAAACTGAGTGAACTTCATGTGAAGGATAGTTTTTTTGAGGAGGTATTCCCATCACATAATGCACGCATTAGTGTTGATCAAATTCCACCGTTCAGGGAACTCTGCCTTGCCAATTTGACGGTGCTCAAGGTGTCCCAGTGTAATCGGCTCGTCTATTTAATAACAAATTCAACTGCCAAAAGCTTGGTGAATCTTGAAACATTGGAGATAAGTTTCTGCTATAAGATGGAAGAAATTGTAATGAAGCAGGACGGAGAAGATGATGAGGACAAGGAAATCTTTTTTAGCAAACTGAAGCTTTTGGAACTTGACTATTTACCAAGATTGAAGAGATTTAGTGGCCACAGTTGCACTTTCAGGTTCCCATTATTAGAATGTGTAACTATAGCACGGTGTCCTCGACTCACAATGTTCTGTCCAGGAGCCATTTATGCCCCGCGTCTGCAAAGCATTCGAGTATGTAGACACAAACATGATCATCATAAAGATATTTGGATGACCGATCTTAACAACACCATCCAACATCGGTTTATGACTCAGGAGGTACATCCAACATTTTGGCATTCTTATTTTCTACTTTTTAAATAATTCCTCATTATCTGCAAAATTTAGGATGAGGTAACTATTTAATACAAACATTGAAGTTGCTCTGTCGTCTCCCATAAATTATAAACTTTTCATGTTACAAGACTCTAATTGCAAGCAAATGGTGATAAATGAATGTCGTATCCTGCAAATAGTGTTGCAAGTTTGGTACTTTTTTACTAGAAAGAAAGGGAGCTATAAAATGATTCAGAGACTTTTTTATCTTATTTTAAAATATGGATGTGATTTTAGAGGGAAAATCAACAACAACAAACCTTCATATAAATATTAGAAAAAATTGACCGATTGTTTAAGAAAGACTTTATATACAATAAAAACGCAAAATTAGTATTTTAAAAAATATCTTGACCTAATTTATTACACTACCGTCTTATAGTAGTAATTTTATCAATAATCGTTTTATATGTAATGTTCACTGTCAAAAGCCTAGAGCAAAATGAGAATTCGAAGGCAATGATAGTTTTTTTTTTCTTTTCAAATTTAATTTAGAGGCAAAAAGAGTGCAAGAAAATTAATCTAAATTTTTTTCTAATTTTGATGTATGGATGTGATTTTTGAGGAAAATGATGAAGAATATAAATATTATTCGAAAACAATATCTTGATTTAATTTACTAAATAGCATACTAATTATTAATTTTCATTTTATAGGTAACTTCCATAACCCAAGACATGGTGTTAAATGCGGAGAATATCACAATGATAAGTGATGTCTTTCCTAAAGTGAGAAGTCTTTGTGTAGAAAGCTTCCAAGATGGAGTACTCTTTCCCTATAGATCCCTTGAAAAATTTCCCCAGTTGGATTATCTTGAGGTGGAGCAAAGTTCATTTGAGGAGATATTCCCCTCACAGGACCAGATTATTGATTTTATGGGGAAAATTCCTCCATTTGAGGGATTACGCATTTCCAATTTGGATAAGCTCAAGAGTATATGGAAGGACGATTCTCAACTACCACCAATTCGTCAAAACTTGACATACCTCGTGGTCAAAAATTGTTGTAACTTGGTCAAGTTGACACCATTCTCTGCTTCATTTGAAAATTTGAGAAACCTATCCGTATCTGAGTGCCATCAGCTCATTCATTTAGTGGCAAGTTCAATTGCCAAAAGCTTTGTGAGTCTTGAATGGTTGGTCATACATGATTGCAAAAAGATGGAGGAAATTGTAATGAATGACACCAATGAAGACGTAGAAGGTGGAATCATATTCAACCGATTGCATCGGATCGAACTTGTTGATATGGTAAGCTTGAAGATGTTTTCTTCACAAAGTCACACCTTGGAATTCCCAAAATTAGAAGAGATAAAAATAACTGGATGTCCTCAAATGAAGAAGTTTGGTCTAGGAGTGTTGAAAACACCAAAGTTGTCTAAAGTGAAAATAGAAGGACATGATATGGAATGGGAGGATGAAGGAGACGTTAACAAAACAATACAAATGCTATGCTCAGCAAAGGTATGATATATACACACCAACAAATGTTGTCTCCAAACATGTATAGTTAATGACCAAGCGCGACTAGAAAACTCACTATATCGTACTTTATGCCAATTACATTTCTTTTTTATTCTTTTCAGTGATAAAATTACATTTTTTTAAGACAAACTAATATTATGTCTCGGTATTGCAGGACAGCGTTAATTGATAGAAGGATAAGTCCATCATCCATGTTATCATTTTCAGGTTCGCGAGTTTTATGATTTTTCTTGCTTATTATATCGTACTGTCAATGATTTTATCTAGTAGCTATTATGATATCAATAAAAGCTCATATATGAAGGAATGAAGCATTAAAAAAAACTTGCATCTATTTTTGCCCCTACACGTCAATTTTTCTTTCCTTAAACTATTGGCATCTTTTTTGCTACATTTGTCTGTGCTTTCCTCTCACTAGAAATTAGAGTTGCTTGTTAAAATTTATTTCAATATTTTTTTCCAATAGTAATTACTATAATAATATCAAAAGCTGCTACATATATTAATTAGGGGTGCAACAGAGGATCCATCTTTGCGTGTGTGTGTGTGTGTGTTTTAATTTCTTTTACATGTCAATTTTCATTTGTTTGTGCACATTCCCTCTCTATTGTATTGGTTGATTTAGTGAACAACTTTTGCTTATTCTAAAGAGATTGACTATGATTGAGGAGAAAAGAAACAGCTGATATATTTAAAAAAGAAGAAGAAGATGATGATTTTGGTTATTTGATTCCCCCAACAGTTTTAACCCAATTTTCCCGCTAAAAGTGATATATGTTTACAGAATACTATCATTAAAAACATATTCACAAAAAAAAAACGTAATTTTTTATGCATTGACTACAAAATGATTTATATCTGATATTGATAACATGGATATACATAGAATATAAACATATATAACCTCAATAGTCTTTTAATTTTCCTTGCTTGATTAATGTAGGTGCCTTTGGTGATGATGTTGACATTTAATGATGAATGTGGACGGATGTTTGTGCATTGATGCTTTTGTTGAATTCTCTGTTATTTGATAAATGAGACTCTGTTTTTATCATAAGCAATATTCATACCAATAAATTGGGTGACGAATGACTTGACCCTGCAGGTCAAAACTCTACCCTTAAAGAGTGGTTTGTTTCATTGTGTATTATAACTCTAATAGATGGAAGACTCAGAAATTGGTGCGCTGTGATTGTGAAGCTTTCATTCAACAACCGTGTGGTTTGTTTCAATAAGATTGCTCATGATTGACCCTGGAGTTCTTGATAGATGCATGCAACAATATTCATTTTTGTGATCTGTATGTAAAGGTATAGAAGAACAATAATTGAAATAAAATGTATAGTTTATGTATATAATTTAAAATGAGTAATTAACTACGAGCAAGCTAGATAAGAGATAATTTATTTTTTACATCAATTTAGAGATAAGATTTAAATCACACCAATTCATTACGGTCCAAATTTTAAAAGTTAATGGTAAGAAATGAAGATAGGTTAATGTTGAGCTGTTAGCCAGAATGAATGAAATGCCCAGCACTTAAATTGATGCTAAAATCAGAAATCATGCACCATATTTTCTCACCTATTGACTCTCGATATTAGTTAACAAAATTAATCTTGATGCCCTTATTTTATCTTTCGGTGTTCATTTTGAAACCTTTATTAATATAATAGGGAGACTCTATTAAAAAAATTATTTGGTTGGAAAAAAGAAGCAGGCAGGGGAGGAGCTTCCCAAAAGAACAGAGAATTCTCAAAAAACACTACCACCTCTGTAACCACATGGGACTCCTCGTATCCAGGTATGCCACTTTGTGCCAACCAGTACGCAACTAAAATGCTACAAGTTAGTAGTGGTTTGTCCTGTATCCAACACAAAGCCCTCTGTTCAAATGAAAACCTTCAGGGACATCATTTTCAACGAAAATGTCGCTTATTATCATGTTGAGCGATTTATATACAAAAATGTCTATCATAAAGAAATATGCTGTCTCATATGTATTAAGAATTATCAAAAAAACAAAAACTAAAAACTAAAAAAAGTCTATGCATAGACCATTATAAAGAAAATCAATGGTGCATTTTGCACTGCCACAAGTATCTGGAATGCAGGTCCTAAGTTGAAATCTTGATTTAGTGTCCAACATTACAATAATGGTCATAGTATTAAACACATCTCATTATTTAGAATACATAAAGAAGCTCAAAGTTCTTCGTAATCTTACGCAAAATGCATGTATCTTGCCCCATAAAAGGCAGATGATTTTTCCAATCATCATCCATCTAAACAGGATTATTGTTATTCACTAAATTCTTGTGAGCAAAGATAAAAATATCAAGCAAGTTGCACATGTTGGTGCATTTGTTTAAATGAATACCTTGTCCCACTTAGTTTACATGCATGCAGAATCACTAAACGAGACATGAAGTCATAAGAGATTTGAGTGTAATATTACATTACACCTCCTCCAAAGCATCGCCAAATTGATTTAATCATATTCAATAACTATAATATGAAAATAACAAAATTAATGGGTAAGAAGAAGAAGCTTCAGAATTTAGAGAGCTCCAGCAAATTAAAAGCGGAGCTCTAGCGTGGGTAAAAGCAGAAAGGGAAAAATACATCAAACTACACAAGCAAAAAGGCTGTATTTTCTATTAGGGGAAGCGGAGCAAAACACACCAATTCAATTCAATAAATTAGCACATCTCTAAAATTTATGGAGAGTAATTTATTGATGATTGAAAAATTATTCTCAAGGAATTTACTTGTAGGTATCAAGAGCATTTAACTTTGGGTTTTTGTGGGAGAAATCTATCTAATGGATCTACAGACTTCTACTCTTCCTGAGCTGTTTCTCCCTGTTCTGCACCATCTGATCCAGCCACACCATCAACATGCACAGTGGGAGACGGCTCAGAAAACTGAGGAGTGTTAACTTGAATGCTAGGTGTCAAAACCTAAACAGATCATGATGATGCTCCGTCTAGCAACCTACAAAACCACATGCTAGAAAGTTTTTTTTAGGGGAAAAAACAGCGACCAGGAGTTAACATGATAATCAGAAGAAGAAAAGCAAAACAATATGAAAGTTCAAATTCTTCTGCAATAATGATTAATGAGTCACTCTAGAAAATCTGATTTCCTATTTTGAAGAAATTGAACACTGCTGGAAAATGGAAAAAAGAAGTTGGTTTGCAAGTCTATTGATAAAAGAAAAGAAAAGGTAAAAATTAAAAAAGAATATTCAAACAACCTTCAAACTTTCAAATAGAGAAATCTATACAACATGACTTACAATTGCATACAGAATGTTAGCGTCAAGAAAAAATGCCAATCACTTAATCAGCTTAGCCCACAAGCACACAAGTGGGTCATGGACTTGGAGGTTTTATACAACTTTTTTTTTTTGGGGCATCGAAGGTTTTATAGACTCTAATCCAGAACAGCTGATATTCAAACAACTTAGCCAGCTCTTCACTTAATTGCATTGATTTTAAAGTTAATAGCCAAGCCCAGAGCCTTTAGATCATGTTTAAGAATGGATGAGAATTTCAGACACTGCATGTTAAGTTCTTAATTAACTTTGATAATATACAATGTGCTTAATTTTCATACAGTATAAGATCTCAACAAGCAAGGACATCAACATTTTCTTGTAGAACTCCATTTTAGATTGCATTATTAATGTCAATAGCAAGCACAAACCTCAGTGAAGATGTTTTCTAGACTGGGCTAAACGTTTCATCAAATTCATCCCCTGGATTTTGCTGAAAACCTTTCACACCTAGTCTGGCTTGGTGCTTTATTTTGAGAGCCATCTGGCTTCTCCTTTAAGCTTAAACACCTTTTTACAATCAACCACATTGCCTTGTCCTGTGTAAGGTACAGGTAACCATGTTTTGTTTCTTAATCACAGCATTATATTCGGCCTCTTCCATAGCTTGTTTCCACTGGTCTGGCTTGAGAGCTTCTTTAATCCTGCATGGTTCTTTGGATTCATCTATTACTATAGCTGCACCAGCACAAGGTCATTACTATAGCTGGCCTGAGACAGTATCAACACTGGAGTGATCATGTGGAATTCTTGATCGTTCAAAGGGCTATTGAATTCTTCATTCGTGACGCAAAGACGAAGTAATTGGCTTGAGATAGACACACCTTTGGATGAACCAGTTCAGCAGGTACAACTTTTTTCTTTTGGTCTAGTTAAAAACCAACTAAACAGAAAATTGATATTTAATTCTATACTTACGCCATTGCCAGCTTTATTAATTCTTCCAAGGGAAAACTTCAGTTAAGTCCCTCAATGTGGACTTAATATATTTTCAGTCCCAAGGAAATCTGAAAATTCAATTCAGTACCTCTGACCCAAAATGAAATTAAAGAAACAAGTAAAAGGACCTTTTAGTCCCTAGAATAGGTACAATGCAAATGCACATATAAAAATTTATGACAAAAAATAGAAAAATAACAACCTACATATAAAAATTACAACAAAGAAAAAAAAATGTACAACTCTACATGTCAAAATTTACAACAAATAACAACTATACGTACGGTCATTTACAATAACAAATATCATATAAGAATTTATAACAAACAATAGAAAAATAGCAACTATACATATGAAAATTTACAACAAATGATAAAAACATAACAACTCTATGTATATGATATTTTCTACAAATTTTAAAGGCTAAATAGTCGTTGTCAAAGATTAATTCATCATGGTCAGTAAAATCGGAAAGAATTGGCATATAAATAGAAAGTAATTTAGTCTGTACATCGTTTCGGAAATGAAGTTGGCAATTGTACTTTGTTATGATAGGGGAAGATAAGCTAAGCATAACCAAATTAAAACAGCGTTCTCTGGATTGGTTGAATTCCCATTTCTAGTAATAAAACATCAAATAAATATATTTTGTGCAACGAATATATATATGTAGTTTTTTTTTTTTTCAAATTACAAATCCATAGGAATGTTTCCCTCTAGTTGCAAAGTCCCAGGAATGAGTAAATAATATGGGCTGTGATATCAGACTGAGACTGACGCTTTTGCCAGAACTGCCTCTACATCTCACAGTGCTGTGTACGGTGCAATTAGCCATGTTTTGTTTCTTGATCAGAGTATTACATTCTTTCCTCGCTGCAGACGACGCCAGCATTGTATTTGATGTTAATCTCGAGAAAATACTTTTGGAATATTTCGTTACCGTTTGACCCATGTAAGACCATAAAAAACTCGCATTTATTAGGGAGTAATTTCCCTATTTTTCTCAGACTTAACTTTGATCTCTAAGTTTTTTCCCCCCCCCCCTCACAAATTTGAAGAAAATGCCTTATTCTCGGATAAAATTCACTTAAAATAATCTTTAAACTAAATTCTACCTTTCTTTCTTGGTATAAATTCGCATTAATCTTAAAATGATTTTTTCCATTTTTGCCCAATTATTTGAGGCCTCCTGGTATTTTCCATATTTAAATTTGTCTAATTATATTTTATTTAGCCAAAATTCAATGATTATTTAAAAAATACGTTTTTGAGGTTTTTTTTCCATTTATACTTCAACTAAATCTCAAATATAATTTGGGTAATTATTATCTCCGAGGATTTTCCTATAATTAACCAGCAATAAAAAATTATGTTTTTCCCCCAACTCGCAACGGTAATTATGCCATGTTCCCTTAATATGTCTGCTATGTTATTTAACCCCTGGTTAACTTTTAATCATGCGTCTGGCATTTATTGCAAAGCCGAATGTTGCATGATATACTTATGTTCGTATTATCTTGGGGTCTGCATTAAACTACCCATATGCCAAAATTATGTTGTCATCACATATGAACTATGCACGCCACTAATGTTAAAAGTTGAAAAGTTTTGCTGACCCATTGATTACAGAGAAGGTTATGTTTAAGGACCAAATTAACAAAATTTTTAGCCCTTAAAGATCTCGAATATGTAAAATCATTATCAAGGGAGATGGCCTTGTTTGTGAAATTAAGTAATGTATGAAGACCAAACTGTCCTTATGTTTAAAAATGGAAGTGGTAGATATAAATTCTTGAGGAAGTATCCGTGTCAAATAATGGAAGCTAGAATTATATAAATTTTTATTGTCACTGTTAAGTGATAGAATTGCTATGATTGCCAATTTTCCTGAAATTTATTTCTAATAGGGGCGTTAATCCTTCTGTTAAAATCATGTGGTATGTGAAGCATGGGTG